CCCCAAAACCCCAAAACCCCATGGTTTAAATTTTTGTATAAACAAATGAAATGTTGAGCAAATTAGAATCTGAATTTAAATAATTATTTGATTAATTGTCTCAATTGAAAAAATTAGTTTTCTTTTAAATCATAGCAACAGCCAAAGAAATAAGGCCTGTGTAAACTGTATATAAAACATTAGATCTCATAGGAATACCAAGTATCTTAATTGGATTCACTTCTTGTTCTTTCTCTAATCTCTCTTTTACTGATTCAATAGTTTTAATTGTAACTAATAATTCTTTTTTACATTGCTTTGGAGTTTTAAACTTTAGCAAAGTAGTGTAATAGTTTTAAGCTAATTTCTATGTATTATTAATTGTCTATATTTGATCATACCTACTTTCTAAAATAATATCCCAATCCGAGTGTAATCTCTCTAATTGATTTTTTAATTCAAGCAACTTGTGAATTTACTTTTGACTTACAGCATTAGTCCTTACAGCATAATTGAGCAAAAGAACAGTTAGAATTAACATTATGATAATCTCATAAATAATCAATACCCATTGCTTATCATCGAAAAGTGTTACATTTACTCCAAAGAAGTAGCATAAATATAAAGCACCAAGTAAACAATAAGTTACCATATAAATTATTAAATTAAGTTGAATTCTAGTTCTATATCTTTATCCGAAATTTCTTACTAATAGAATGATATCCATCCAACTAAGTATTGATCATTTATCAAATATATTAATAATTGGAAAGGCTAGAGTTATATTATTGAACTTTTATCTATTAGGCTCCAACAGAACTTACATCAAAAGCATTATTATGAAAGATCTACCAAAATCGATTAGAGCTATTTCGATAAATACAATATTCTTGAAGTAAATAAAACTGTTAATGTAAAATAAGGATAATGAGTAAATCCAAAAGTCCCAATTCTAATACCTATCATACCATATTTTTCCTTAATCGTCTTATTACTAATAGTCATAGTAAAAAATCATGCTATGAGTCAAGAGACCATTAATTACAGAAAGTAGAATTCCCAGCCACCTCTGCCTAGCAGGTAATAAGACCTATGATGTCAAGTAGCCTTCTCTAAGGAATGTTCTAGCTGGATACCTTGTTAGTAATTTATAGTCATCAAGCTCCTCAGTTTGATCTTTTTCAGTCAGTTAACCTTCAATGTCCTTTGCCAATTTATTTTTAATTTTAACGACAATCATAGTTTTCGTTCTCAAATCTTAATTTGATTGTTTATTTAGCAAATCTTTTGTTTATTCAAGAGTCTAATATACCTGTTTATCATCATGACTATTTTTAAGGTAATAATTATAATCTTGAATAGCTTCTGAATAATGGCCTTTCATTTTACTAAAAAACTAGCAGCCAAATGATAGATTATCAATCTCATTAATCATCATTGAGTTTTTAATTTCTTTATCCACTATAAATGGTGTTAAATTCCTCCACGATTTTTCAATAAAATCCTCCACTAACTCTTATCAACTTAAAAAGCTATTATGAATTCTCTCCTTCCTTGATTTGGATTAAGTTGCATACATAATAGAAGTTATAAATATTCTGAATACTATAGCAAGTTCAGCAGTAAACAGTTCTACATAATTGAGCCTTCTAGTGTATGATCATAAGATAAAAGTAATATATCCGATTTACAAACTAAGTACAAGTGTTAAATTTTAGAAATGTATTCTAGACCATCCCCAAAATCCTATATTTGTAGCAAATTTTCTCCCTTCTATCAAAAATACTAGAGGAACTGCCAAAAATAGTCCAGGAATTTGAAAGTATAGAAAATGGTAAACAAATATCTTCAAGAATCTAGCCTTATCAAAAGTTACATAACAATCAGAAGGAATAACTTTTTCAATGTTAAATGGATCCTCCTTAAATTTCTTTTCTTAATTTTTTACAAAATCTCAAAGTGCCTAAGCCTCCTTAGTAGAAATTATTGATTCTTATTATTTAAATGGACTTTAATTTTCTACATTTCCTTCGGAATCATTAGGATTAATCAAATTTGACTTTGATTTAATTTATTGAGAAGCCCCCTTATCACGCCAAGTTGACTACTATTCAAAGTCTTATATTCTAAATTTTGTTTATGTATCATTCAGGGACTAATCTTGAAGTTCGATCGAATCCTAGTGAAATATAGATGTTTTATCATCTTTTTAATTGAATTCTTTGATTATTTCCTCTATGTCTATTTAGTTATCCTCATGATTTTCATTCTTTGTAGATTTTTCCATCAGTACTTTAAATGAGAGCCTTTAATTAAATTAATAAATCTAAATATTTTCCAAGTGCAATTTTTGAATAGATTTTAAAAAAATTTAATGATGGGGTTTTGGGGTTTTGGGG